TGCTGCAGCTTCTCCGTATAGGACAATAGAACATAATAAATAGCTTTCAACTCGCGGTACGTGGAGCTCTGACCAAGATCTTCAGACGTGAACATGCCGCTAGCCATTACGCCGTCCAAGGAGGCCGAAAACCCGCCGAAGGCGACATCACTAGCATCAGAGAAAATAACCGTCGACGAATCAGGGGGTGGACGAAGAGAATAGCCGTTAAACGAGTCGATATTGCTGTACCAAAATCTCAACTCCTCCAAAAGAGCCGGAGAAAAACGAAGGGTGTGGTCCCACGCTGATCGTGATTCAATTGCCAGGTACATTTGCCTGGTTAGAAGACGTGAAATGGGCCCCACTGCCAAGGCTACAGAAATTATAGAACCGGCGATTCTGGCCAATTCTCGATACGAGGACGACGTATCTCCAATTACAGAGCCTAAAAGACTCTTAAGCTTTTCCACCTTCCTTTCAGGAATACGAAAAGACATAGTAATAGTGTTAATCACGAAACCCAGCCATTCGCCTACTTGCATGGGATGCCAATGAGATTTGCCTTCATTCACAAGGAGACCTGAGGAGTCGAGCACTTTCTTTTGGATAATGGCAGCTGCTGAGGCGGAACACTTATCCGGTAGACTTCCGAGCCCATCGTCGAGATAAATAAAGCTATCGTGACCCATAGAGCGCCAGCGACAGACTAACGGACGCAACAATTTGGTGAAGCAAAAACAGGCGCTGCTAAGGCCGAAGGGCAAAAACTACGAAGGTAAAATATCTTGGCACTCTGTTGAACTGCCAAGGAAAACCGAGATACCGCTGATGCTCCAAGCGGATATCAACATGATGATATCCGGACTTAAGGTCCCATGTAAAGAACCAGTGCCCCTCCTCGAGGACTTGAGATAGGGAGCGAAGATCCTCATACTTAAATTTAAACCTCACAAGGGAGCTGTTAACGTGCCTGAGATCGATAACTAAGCGCAGCTTCTTCCCTTTAGCAACTGACAAGGGGTTAACGCAAAATGGCGGAACACCGTGCTCAATAATGCAACCGTTGGCTAAAATCTCCGAGATGGCTTGTGTCACAAATTCAGAATGCTGAAAGGCCAATCTATTATTAGCCAAAAAACACGAGGGTGGATATTCCGCGAAAGGAAGCCTGTACCCACGCCTGATGGTGTCAAGCACAAAATCAGGACCATTCAAGGTACTCTTCCAAAATTCAATGGAGGCGCTCAAACGACCCTTGAGACCGCTCCCATTGCTTTTAACATTAAAATCGTCATAACTACCCAAAAAAAGGAAGAAAAATCGAACTCAACTGAATGCTGAAGAACGTTCTCTGAGCTTGAATCCACGTCTAGTCAAGAATGGCGCGAGTCACTCTTTGGTGCAACAGACGGCTTAGAACAGAAGGCGCTCAAATGGCCAAACTCCCCGCACTATAAGATAAACAACGCCAAATTAAAGTTCTGTATACGATGGCGTTCACAACCCGAAGGATGAATACCAGTTAACCTCAGACTTATATACCACTATGCAAATAACTACACACAAGAGACATACCGGAATGCGTACTTAGCGAGGACCACATTCCATACAGAACGTGCAGAAAACAAATATCTGCTAAACTTCGTAACGCAGATATTTATATATGCTCGGTAGTATCTATAAAGGATTTGCCATGAAGCTCGGAGCGTTTATGTTTCTTCCCAGAAGTAAGCCCTTTTCTTTGTGATAACTTCATTTTTCAAACGTATTTTAAACAAACTTCTTTGTGGCTCGAGAACTCTATCACACAATCTATTTTAAGAGCGAAAATTAAAACTGTCCTGTTCTAAATCTGCCACACGATCAAACTCATCAGTAAGACAGACTCGAGTTGAAATTGAATAATAATCTAAAGCGAAACTCCGGTGCAATTTGCAACCGTACGGAGTTACGTTTGTCCGTGTGCGTGCATTTGCGTTTCTTTCAGGGATCAGTGAAATCTTCATTACCTCAAACTGAAACAAAGAGTCTTCTGTTAATTGGTATTTAATACGTGCCTCCATGGATTTATTTGTCTTTCTCACACCTAGCTCCCGCTAATATTTTTTCTCAATTTCCTTCTTTCTTTAAGCTCGGAAAATCTCGTAAGTCTTTGGACAAGGCGAGGAAACAATGTTTGTACGGCGTCAGCCATGCGTCTGAAATCTCAGAGATCGGGAGTGACTCATCACAAACAGTTTCCTCTATAAACATACATTACTTCATAGAAAGTGAGACGTGCGGATTTTAACTCACGAGTAGCAAAACATGGGGAATAAAGCGATTTGTTTCTTTCAGTAAATACACAGAAGCTGTTTGCACATCAAGTGGCTATTCTTCAATATGAATTTTTTCAACACAGGTTCTGATTTGGCTTGCAACATCGTGCTTCATCAGAGTAAAGATGCACGGAGTAACAGAGTCAGACGGACAATGGCCGACTAATTCGCAGACTTCCCGCTGGCATTTTTGTTTTCTATTTTATTGACCCACAACTCTGGCATGACCTGTTAATAAACATTCAAACGAGATCTTGGCTTCGATTAATACAGAACAACCATAGGTAACAGCCCAAATAACACGGAATTCGAATCGAGTTATTCATAAAAACACCGAGCCGGCTAATAACATTAAGAGAAATAAACAGAGGTTTGAAAACATGCCAGGTACCGAAGTTGACGAAATTGTAATGTGGGCGGAAACGAAAAACGCCGAAGAAAGAAATGCCCGAAAATAGACTGACCAAGCTCTTGAAGATCTTTATGCTTTGAGATTGTGATAAGCTTAAATACGGAACAAAACCTCAAGCTGGCAGCTAACATTCGTACAATATATACAGTTTCGTGTTTCGAAACAAAACGAAACAGGAATAATGGAAAACCTGCTGACCTACCGAACTGTTTCAGTTTGTGAGCTATTTCAGCTTGTGAGCTATTTCAGCTTATGATCTTTGATAGCTTCACATTTTGACACCTTTAGTCTTAGTTAACCGAACCAATTATTTGAACCATTCTTACTGGGATCATGATTAGCTTATTACAGCGTGCTTAATGAGAGTACAGATACACGCTCACGCCACCTCTCTTCGTCTGGAAAGTAAAAGTTTGTTTTTAAAAATTATACGCATGCGTGGCGAAAGTGCATTTTCATTATTGCAAAACAAAATAAAGAAGCCTCGACTGTATTCTGTTCTACAGTAAAGCAGATAGGAAGCGGCTAGAACATGAAAGATATAGGGAAAACACTCGATTACGTCTCTTTTTCTCCCTACACTTCTTCTTTCATGCTCGAGCCGCTTCCTACCTGCTTTACAACAAAACAGAGGACAATCGAGGCTTCTTTATTCGTAAACTGGCAAAATCTCTCACACTTCCGTATAACGAGGCATCACTATAACTGGGCTAAACCTTAATTACATGAGCGAGCGCAGCAAACAAGTCACTTTTTGCAACGAGTGAATGTGAATTCGTACACTGCAGCAAATCACAAGTTTTTATCTCTTTTTTTTTTAATAATTACATGCAATGCTTCAAGATCTGCGAATCAACTTAAAGACCGAGTTTTGGGGAAAAACTTGACCACCCACTCAGCTTTAGGTGCCCCTTAGCTTTAGCCCAAGTTTAGCCCTTTAGAAAGTTTCTAAAGAAGGAACAATTATCAGCAGCTGGCGATATGGAGTATTCATGCATATAACAGAAATTGCAAAAATCAATCCAAAAATAATTTTTCATGCTTCTTCTTTTAGGTATTTTGGTGCTTCTCTAGAAAGCAGCAAGTGTTACTGGTAAGTGTTAGAGTGCATCAATTCATGTATTTCCAATATAATTATCCTAGAGAACTGTTGGAAGCATTTTGGGTCCAATCAAGGTTCCAATATGAAAATTTAATCTTTCAAATTTAGAAGCACAAGGTCGCACAGCCCATAAGGTTGTGCGCGCGTACATCAGTGCGTCCCGCCTGAGTCAGCCTAGTCACGCTTAGTCACGCTCACAAATTCTAACTAAGTTTTTCGCATTCGACATATTGGATGGATGTCAAAGTACAGAAGCAAGTGGGTTTGCGTCAGCTTAATATTAATATATCACTTTTCTGTCGCATTTTCACGATACTAGGATGGGAAGGGTTAGTGATTAGTCTCATTAGAGCAGAAAGCTTAGGAAGAAACCTTGACTGTAGTCTGCAGTTCCTTTCAATCTCTTGACTTTACCCTCTTCGTGTGATTATGTGATAAAATACTAAGTTTTTAATTAAGAATTGGCATTTGTTGGAATAGTCTCTAAGTTAGCTGAAAACGAACCTGTTAGGTAGAAAACGTACAAGCGCGTGAGGATTTCGCGGAAACCTATTCACAGCAGCATTATAATCCACGTGAATTTTTGCGGTGGGTTAGGATTTTTTGGTGAAGTTCAACTTGTTTAACTGAAAATGTTATGTAATGGGGCAAAGCCTAATCAAAAGTGACAACTAACGACGAAACCCGTTTAAACTGGATAAGAGAAACATGGGAAAATTCTCAGAGCATAGGACTGATTGGCAATCTCAGTTAAATAAGACAAACATTTTTATATTTCTCTCACTTATGAAATGCGTCTTCCCTACGAACGAAATGAAGCTATTTTCAATGAACCAACGGAAAAAAATGTTCAGGTCCATCCATTCATTCATGGTTCTACTAGTCGTCGCAAGAGCTGGCGGTATCTTGCAGACTGAACCACTATTTGAAGTCGTCCTTCTTAAACATTAGGGAGCTTAAACAACCACGACGAAAGGGACGACGACAACATCAAGTAATCGCGGAGGGTCTGGAAAGAGGACGTTTTTAGCGGGAAAATGAAACTTAAGCTGTGAAGTTGCTCAAGGACGACGACGTCTGAAATCTTGTTTATTCTCGCTTCGTCAGTTGAAGAAATGACATCGTTCATAGACGTCCAAAACCTTCTTCTTCTCACTCATGGATCAAATTTCCACATATATATCGAAAGTTCGAGAGTAGGTTATTCAATTCTTGAACATCAACAGTCCAAGGAATTATTAAGCTTTAGCTTTATTTACAATAATTTACGCATCGCAAAAGTTTAAAATATTAAATTTTACGCAAGTT